TGCCATCCGACGGTCACAGTTTGCCCAGCTGTGAAATAGAGAGCCAGAATGGCGTAGTGGTTCAAACATTGGACTGTGGCTCTGGAGACTGGGATTCAAATCCCTGCTCGGCCATGGATACCCACTGGATGACCTTGAGCGAGTCACACTCTCTCAGCCTCAGAGGCAATGGCGAACCCCTTCTGAAGAAACCTGCCTGGAAAACCCCATGATAGGTTAACCCTAGGGTTGCCGTAAATTGGAAACGACTTGAAGGCACACAACAACAAAATGGAGAGAGATCTCTGTTGTAATCTATGACGTGGGTCTAGCCTTCTGGATGTCTAGCCTTCTGAATGTCATTGGACTGCAACTCCCATCAGCCTTAATCTACAGAGCCAACTGTTGGCGAAAAAATGCCAAGAGATGCAGGCTGAAGGTCTTACATTCCCCAGTGGTGGTCTGTGATGGGCAAAACTGGAGGTAAGTGACCAAACTGGGAGGATTTTATAATCTGAGACAGGGTCATCCCTTCCCGTCCTCATTTTAAGTGATGGAGGTGCCATAGGTGAGAATAGGTAGGCCTACCTTAATCAGCTATGGGCAAGTAAATTTTGTGAACTTAGCAAGGCTGAGCTGTTCTTCTAGGGCAGGTGAGCTGCTATTGTATTAACAACCTGGGAGTGGTCCCTTGTATAAGTGTGTGTCATGTGTGTGCGACTTCAAGTCGCCTGCCAATTGATGGTGACACCTTGCGTTTCATAGGATTTTTGTAGGCAAGGAATAATCAGAGGTGTCTTGTCATTGCCTTCCTCCGGAATATAGCCTTACAGTGCCTAGTGTTTGTTGATGGTATCCCATCCAAGTACTAACCAGGGCTGACCCTGCTTAGCCTCCAAGATCAGATGGGATTGGGATCTTTGGGGTGTATAGGCCCTGCAGAAATAAATAAATGAGGGTAAAAGATAGTGAGAGCCAATGTGGCACAGTGGTTTGAGTGTTGGACTACGACTCTGGAGACAAAGGTTCGATTCCTGGCTCGGCCATTTAACCCACTGAGTGACCTTGGACAAATCACATACTCTCAGCCTCGGGAGAAGGCAAGGACAAACCCTCCTGTGAAAAAATCTTGCCAGGAAGACCCTGTGATAGGTTTGCCTTAGAGTCATCATAAGTCAGAAATGCAACAATAACAAAGATATAGCCATGTTAGTCTGTACAATCAGTATCTAGAGAGATCTTGTAGCACCTTTGAGACTAAGGGCCTTTTTAGACTGCCAGAAATAGTGCAAATTGAGGCCACTTTAACTGTCCTAGCTCAGTCCTAGGGAATCACGGGAATTGTATTTTTTTCTGAGACTTTGAACCTTCTCTGTCAGAGAGCTCTGGTGCCACAATAAACTACAGTTCCCATGATTCCCTAGCACTGAGTCAGGGCAGTTAAAGTGGACTCAATTTGCACTATTTCTAGCAGTCTGCAAAGGCCCTAACTGAAAGAAGGAGGTTGTGTAGCATAAGCTTTCCTAGACTAAAGTCTACTTTCTTGGATGCATTTGAATGCGTCAGATGCATTCCTCCAAATGCATCTGAGGAAGTAGACTGAAGTGTAGAAAAGCTCATGCTGCCAATTTCTTTCTTTCAGTTAGTCTCAAAGGTGCAACAAGATCTCTCTACAACAACAACAAAAATAGGCAGTGATCTGGTCTGCTTGGCCACTGGTCAGAGGTGATGGGAGTTACAGTTCAGGAACATCTAGAGGGCCACTGAGCCCCCTCTTCCCACCCCCCCCTTCATTGAACAGCAGTGACTCTCTTGCTTTCCAAACCAAGAGTTATACCTTGGAGGTGCAAGATCTCAAATGTGGGAAAGCCTATCCTCCACCACTGAATTTTGTGGCATGCAGTCAGGTTCTTCAATGCAAACGTCTATGGCAGGGGTCGGCAACCTACGGCCCGCGGGCCGGGTGAAGCCCACAGAGGCCTTGGGACCGGCCCGTGGCCGGTCCTGCCACTGCCATCGCCGGCGCATGCGTGCTGCCACTGCGGCAAGCACGGGAGCCATTTTGGCATCCAAAATGGCACCTATGCTGCCGTTGGGCCTTCCGAAATGGCGCTCTGCATCGCGCACGCATGCGCACACAACACGGGGCACCATTTTGGAAGGCCCAACGGCTCCGGCGTCATGCGAATTCACATGGCACCGTCGCCGTTGGGCCTTCCGAAATGGCGCCCCATGTCATGCGCATGTGCACGCGATGCAGAGCGCCATTTTGGAACGCCCAACGGCGATGGCGCCCTTGGGCGTTCCAAAATTGCGCCCCCACGCGCGCACACATGCTCTCTGACACATGGGGAACTGTGTTAGGGTTTTGGTGGGTGGCGCACATTCACTGTCGTGCAATTCCCACATTCGCTGTCACCTTTGCTACAGGTGTGTGGTTTGTGTATGCAAAGGCTATGCCTGGACTGATCTGCATGAAATTAGCAGTGGCACGTTTGGCTGTTCCTTCTCACTTGCCCTCCCAATCAGATTGAAACGTCCTGCATGCAGAAATCTAGCATGTCAGGCATCTTCTGTGCTGCATTTCTAGGTGCAGGCATTTAAACCGAGATGTTTACTTTATTGCAGGTTGAGAATGTTTCTATACCGAGGGGTGGAGGAAAGAAAAAGTAGCAGGGTTCTGTCTTTTCATTGCACCTGTGTTATACTTATGTTACCATAAGTAACACAACCTGCCATAGGTACCCGCAAACCGTGTTGCTGAAAACAAAGATAAGGCATTCTGTTGTTCCTTTCCTTCCTTTCTGGAGGCGAAAGGGAAGCTGTGTTTTGTACACTGATAAAACTCAGTGGTTTTATAGAGGACCTTCTGGTGTCATCAAGAGCGCCTGTCATTGCTATCAGAGCATGGAATAATAATAATAGTAATAGTAATAATAATAAGTTGTGGCACCGGCCCCGGGCCCCTTTCTGGCAGTAGAAGTACAATACCGACCCATTGAAAAGCAAATAATTTTGCTGTCTTTTTGTGACACTCCAGATTTATTTGCAGCAGCTAATTTAGCTTAGTCAAAATATAGGGCAGGCAATGAGAGAGAAAGAGGGTGGCATAAAGAGCAACATTATAAATGCCCTTTCTATTTTTGACATAGCCCACCAAGTAGCAGATAACTCTAGAGGCAACTAGCTATATATATATATATATATATATATATATATTCCTTAAAGTTGCAAAAACAGACAAACAATCCCACAAAGACATAAACAAATACATCAGTATGTAAACAAATGCATAAAGAACACAAAACAGAACACAATACTCAGAAAAGGCAGTTCTTCAAGATAACAAAGTATCCAATGGATGCAATGCTTGCATCTGTATAGACATGCCTTGTCCATATCCCTTCCATATTGCAATAATCCCTGGGCTACATGCATAATATTAATTTACATCCAATATATATATTTAAATCCATGTCTTTATCCAGATGGACTTTATGGCAAAGGTTTCCGCACTCGGGAGTGTGGACAAGGGAGATCCAGGTTCAAGTCCTCTTGGAGCTGTGAGCCTCACAGATGTCTTTGGGAGAGTTCAGTTCAAAACACACGGCAGAAATAATCCAGTTTGAGACTGCTTGAACTGTCCTGGCTCAATGGTAGGGGAATTCTGGGAGCTGTAGTTTTGCGAGACATTTAGTCTTCTGTGTCAGAGAGCTCTGGTGCTATAAAAAACTACAATTCCCAGGATTGCCTTCTGCTGTGTCAGGGCAGTTCAAACGGTCTCAAACTGGATTATTTCTGCCATGTGTTTTGGACCTTACTCCTCCTCTGCTTAGCCTACCTCTCAGGGTTGTTGTGAGGACAAAAAGTGAATAGAAGGAAGAGTCATGCCATAAATTCAATGGAGGAATACCAGACCATAAATATAAGGAATACGTGATTTTTATCTGGCTTTGCAGTCGGCCTTATGGGACTTTCCCAGAGGCTTCCTCTGCAGATTTATCAGGTCAGTCCTGTACCAAAGTTACTGTTCTAAACCAGAGAAATGTCATTTCTTCCTCTCTCCTTTCCTTGCCCTCTGGCTGTATGAAAAATTAGAATCTGCTGTGTCCCAGGTGCTAACAAAGGCTTGATCTTTCTTCCCACTCAGTCCCTGTTCTAGTTCTTGCCAAATCAGTAGGGTTTTTAAATAGTATGTCCTATTTTGATATATTTTTGGCTTGGCTGGCCAGTGCGTGGAGCGTGATGGGGAGAAGAAGTGAGAGTCCTGAGTTAGAGAGAGGGTCATATCTGGGCTCTTCAGAGTTTGGGGACTACAGCTCCCATCAGCTCTGACCAGCCAGCAGGACAAATGGTATGGAGGTGTGGGAGTTGTAGTCCAAAAAGTCTATAGAGCCCAAGGCTCCCCATCCATGGAGGAAAGACTACGTAGGGCCTTTGCAGACTGTCAGAAATAGTGCACATTG